ATTATGGCGGCCCACACCATCACCATGGCCGGCGCTTAAGTTCTGGTGGCCAACCGAAGGTGCACATTTTCAGCTGACCTCTTTGGCAAGTAAACACCAATAATTTGCTGGACATCATCGGAGAAAACCAAATTCTTTACCTCTTTTGAGTCTATTTTCGTTATGTTGCGGTGTAAGTTCTAGCACTTTTTGGAATTTCAATGGCTTTTCACCGAGCTCATTTTTTAATATTTGCCGAATTGAATATTGCGCATATTTTCAGCTCACGAGCCATTTTTGGGCCATCGCGACGCGGGTTTCGATCAAGTCGCTTCTTTACTTTTCGAACCATTTCTGCTGATGTTGCTGTTTTCTTCCGTCCTCTTCCTTGACGTCAGGCTACACTACCAGTATCACGCTAACGAGCGATGACACGAGACACAAACGATTTATTCACATTTAAATACTGAAGTGCTCTAACGATAACCACTTGTGGTTTCCAGCCAAATATAAAGAAATTACACTATCACGCTTGAATTCCATCACGAATAACTTTTTTTCTGGAAAATTCTCACCAAAATGCTTTTGTACACTTGTAAACAATATAATGAGCTCTTACTGGAATAATTTTAACAGCTGTCGGACAAGTGGATTAGAAATAACAACAGTCTGAAATGGTTGCAATTTTTTAATCTCACCCTATAGGTGATAGCAGCAGCCTTACTTACCGTTCCAACAATGGATATCACAGATTATGTTTAACAGTCCCGCTTGTTTGTTAGTTATGTAAATATGTACGGATTCGGATTAATTCTTAGACATCAGTGTGCTCGTGGTACAGATGTTGTTGTTGTCGTCTCTATTGTGTCATCTCAGACTTGGCTGGTGTTGTCCTTGCCACCACCATCCATGGCATTTCGAATGGAGCATCATCACTGTGTCAATTTGTATGTGATACACATCAGCACACTGTTGTTGGCACTGATGCTGAGCTTAAAGAGGTGACTGGAGTTGCTCGCTTGGCTCTGCTTTCCTTTGTTTAAAGATGTCGTCGATTGAATGACGCCACAGATTAATCCAATTTGTTGACTGGCGGCTGACTCGGAAAATGTTTTCGTTTTTAATTACAACATACCGCTGTGTCGGCATCTATTCCACAATTGAAGAGTTTGATATATCAGACAGTTAATCGGCAAGAGAGCTAAAAGCGTGTAGGTTAATCAATGTATGTGGATGTGTGTGCGCTGATGTTGAGTCATTTACAGATAATTTAGAATAGTTATCAAATAGTTTACATAGGCCTATGAAGTCATGTTGGAAAGACTTGATATTGGATGAGAATGATAACGTGGATTTTATTTTCTGGTTTTTATACAATCGCGGATACATTCAACTGTGTTAAAGCTACAATTGTGACTTTTTAAAATAGGTTAAGGAATAATGAGAGATGTTCACTGTGGGTTGTACATTTTTCTCCAAATCTCAAAAATATAAAGTCCTATTATTTAAAAGATTTATTTAAGATTTTTTCCAAAGCTTTCTTAGCCAACCAACCGTCATTTTCTGAGGCTATTGGACTATGATCTTTTATTTTGTAAAGAAAAATTTTAAATGATATTTTGAAGCTAAAATTGAGGATATCTAAAATACTTATTCTGCAAGGACTATCAGAGGCGGAAAAATTCTTAGGGAGGACCCTCTGAAGTTCTATGTTAAGTACTGTTTAAATAGAAAATCTAATTTTTTTCTAAACAGTTTTTCTCGAACCTAAAGAAGCATAATTGTTATTCCGCACACCATTATAAGGAGGATATATTAAATTTGACATTCTGTTTGTAATATATATATTCTGGATCAGCGTAAATTCTTAGCCGATTTAGTGATGTCCGTCTGTCTGTTGTAATCATGCTACATTTTGGTTCACATCTTCGTATTGCAACATAAACGTAATTATTTCAAATTTCGTACTTGTAGGTCGGAACCTGTACTATAGGCTACTTATGCAGTCCTCGTCTTCGCATAGCACCCATACAGGGTGAGATAAAAAAAACTGCAACAAAGTCAAACGCCGCAATTTTTACTTTTTTTTAAATTTTATTGAATGAAAGCAAAAAGTGTCGGAAATAGCATCAAATTTTAGAATAAGCTTAGATTTTTTCGACTTGGTCACCTTTGGCACGAATTATGGCCAATGAAACTGTCACACGCTGCCCGAATGTTGCTCTGCGGTATTTTGACCCAGTCCCGGCGAAGCGCTTGCTTGAAGTAATCGACACTTTGGTATTTTTTAGTGTCAACCTTGCTTTCCAAAATACTCCAGACACAAAAATCCAACGGATTGGTATCCGGAGTTTTTGGTGGCCATTGTGAGCTGGAAATGAAGCGAGGAATCTCATTTTGTAACCATTCTTGGTTGGCGGTGGCGAGCTGAGTGCGATGATGCTGAGTCCTGTTGGAATGTCCAAGGTCTTCGGCCAAAATGTTTGCGTGCCCAAGGCTTTAATACACCCTCCAAAATATTTTCGCGATAATATTCGGCTGACCTCTTTGGCACGTAAACACGATCATTTTGTTTGTTTACAAACTGCTGGACAACGTTGTTTTCTCATCGGAAAAACCAAATTCGACAGTTCACAACTTTCGGCTAAGCGAAGCTACTCTTTAGCTCTGTTGAGTCTATTTTCTTTGCGTTGCGGTGTAAGTTCTTGCATTTTTATACCCTACAACACTATGTGTTGGGGGTATTATAAGTTTGATTGGGCTAAAAATTATGTAACACCACGAAATATTGGTTTCCCACATAGGAAAGTATATATGGATCTTAATATCTCGCCGAGCTGAGTCGATCTATGTCCGTTCGTCTGTATGTCCGTCCGTCTATCTGTCTGTCCACGTTAATTTGTAATCACTTTACAGGTCGCAATTATGGTCCGATCTTCACGAAATTTAGAATGGAGGTGGGTTAGGGTGGGATAGGGTCAGAATAGAACCCTATTTCTTTTGGAGATGATCGCATAATATTTAGGGGTTGAAATGGACCAAAAACTGAAAAAAATCCTGATTTTACAGTTGCTCTACAGGTCGCAATTATAGACCAATAAAAACGGAACTTAGCATGGGGCTAGAGCTTAGGACTGGGCAGATGCCTTCCAATTTTGATGGTCATTGGATAATATTTAGTGGGAGAAATAGGCCACAACATTTGTGTTAAATAAAAGTAAAATCTTCCATTATACCGCGAACATTTTTAATCCCGGCGAAATCACAAACAGACGAACAGGTCAATTCTGACCGTTACGTAGATGCCGATAGTAAATATATCGGTTATATATAGCGAAATATATTCAATGTGTATATACAAAGGAAGGGTATGTTGGTTAGAATGCTTATATCTCAAGAATGGCTGGACCGATTTTGACAAGTTTTGTCAATTCAGAACGCCCTCTTGGCATAAAAGTATAAAATCTAAAAAAATCGCAGGAAAATATGCCAATAAAGATGTTAATATAGATTTTGTAGTATTTTGTGACATTTTTTTATATTTTCATATTTTTTATCGCATGCGATTTTTTCAATTTAACTTATAATATTTTGTAATATTTTTTCACCTTACAACACAGGTTGGGGATATTATATAAGTATTGCAAATATCGTCCGATCGTCACGAAAATGTTCACAAGTGTAAGGTTGGGCTCAGAAGGGCTATGCCTATTGTTTTCAAAGATGTCCGCAATATATTAGGGGTTGAAATGGACCAACAACTAAAAATTTTCCTGATTTTGCAGCCGTTATAAAGTTCACAAATAGAAACCAAAGGACACGAAATCTCACATAAAGATAGAGTTAGGACAGCGGGTACAATGGACCATCAATTTTGTGTGAAAACGTACCAGCATTACTTGCAGGCGATATCCGAAATACACAAAAGGCGAATTTCTGAAAGATGAGTCTGATAGATGAGTCTAAATTTGGAGATACGAAGGGGCTTCTTGCTTTTGGAGATGATTGCAAAATATTTGGGGATTCAAATTAACTAAAAACAGAAATGTTTTTCCGATCACACAACTGAAGCCAATCGAAACGCCTGTGAAGGAAGAGAAATAAGGACAGGGAAGAATTCTAGCAATTTGGATGACCATTATATTTATCGGTAAAATGGACTACAACAACTAACAGACCGACGGAGTGCATAAATGTTGGGCAAATGTCCCTAGTCAAAATCCTAATTTCAAAAGCGAAATCTTCCAATATGGACTTCGACATAAGGGGTCTTCTAACATAGTGTAGTGTTGTAGGGTATAACATAGTCGGCCCCGCACGACTATAGCCTTTTCTTACTTGTTTGGAATTGTAATGGCTTTACCCCGAGCACATGCAGACATGTAGGGCACATGCCTCCGATCAAAAATATACCAAAATGGTTTTGGACCTAAAATCGCATCTTTATTACATAACTCGATCTAGCTTTATGTGCCCTTCCGACTATCCATTTTAATTTAACAAATTCTAGGTCTCAATTATTGGATGATCCCAACGAAATTTGACATGGCGGTTGAGGTCCAACCATAGCAGACATCTTTAGTTTTTGGGATGGGATGTTAGAGACGTTTAAATCCAGAAATATTCTGATATCCTCCCAAATAGAAAACTTGGTTTTTGAAATACAATACATTTTTAAAGTTTTTTTATTTTGGTGTGAATCAATATTGACATTTCTTCTCAGTAAATACCAGTTAAAACATTAAAATATTTTGTGTGTTCCGCGCATAAGTGTGTCTAAATATTTAGCTAACCTTGATGTATATTAAAAAACATTCAAAACTAGATTTTTCAAAAACTAATCAAATATATATCTTTTTCACACACAAAATTTACCTTGACATATTTATTAAATGGCGCATGCTATTTAATGTTGACACAAAAACAGTTTTGGAGAAATTACGTTTCGGCTAGGGCTGTCTTAATTTGCTATAAAAACACTTCGACAATAGCTCAACCACCATCATTGTTCTTCGCAGCATTTCCCGAGAAAACACTAATTCAAAAATGAAATTTATTTTGCCAATTTTCTTAATTCTATCAGTGATCGCATTTGGATCGCTGCATGCAGCCAAGGTGTGTGTGACAACTGCAACAAATTGCAATGGTAATGTTAGTGTTTGTGGCCGCTATGGTCGCTCTAGATTGTGTAAAAAATTCCAAAATAGTTGTGCTTTCCAGACAGCAAATTGCAGCGATAACATTGGTGAGTTTTTGAATATTTTGACCTGCAACATATTTCTTTTATGATTTTTGTTTTTTCTTTTATAGGCTACACTATTGTAAATTCGTCCTATTGCACGGGTATTCCGCTAAATCAACGTAGAATGTGTAATGGTATGTCGAGTTCCACAAATGGATTATGGGGCACAACAAGCAGTTTATGGGGTTCATCAAACAACAACAATAATAATGTACAACCCATTGTTATTAACCGAGGAAAATAGAAATATTAGATTTATAGTAGATTTTCTAAGTTAGAAAGTTCCTGAATATTTTATTTATTTTTTGGAACAGAATATATATACATATTTTTTAAATAAAATAACTTTAATAATAATAAAAAATAGCTTATTTTAATTAAGACCATTAACCAAAGGCTATATTCGTGCAGTGCCGACCATGTGATACACTACAACACTACAATATGTTGGAAGCCCCCTTATATCCAAATCTATTTTGGAAGATTTCGTTTATGAAATAATGCCATAGAGTTCTAAATTAATTCAATAAAAGTTGTGGTCCATTTTACAGCTAAATACAATCCAATGATTATCCAAAATATCCTTAACTCTCTCCTCATGCAACCTGTAGAACGACTGCAAAATCAGGAAAATTTTAGTTTGTTTGGTCCATTTGAACCCTGAATATACATGCCCATAACGATAGGCCTTAATTCTGACGCTAACCCTACCCCCATGCAAAATTTCTTGATAATTTCGACCTGTATAAAATAACCTCAACACATAGTATTGCTGGGTGTAGAAAAACCTTTGAAAATATACTATTCAAAATTGTAAGTCAAACTGAAAAAATCGCATGCGATAAAAGATATGATAAGAATTGAAAAAAATTAAAAAAAAAATATTAACTTTTTTATTGGCATATTTTTACTCAATTTTATCCTTTTCTGGCTAGAGACCATTCTGAATTAATGAAAATTGTGAAAATCAATCCAGCGGTTCTTGATTCATAAGCAGAATAACTAACCTATTTTGCTATGTACCCAATATCCTGTAGCGTAATTATAAATTAACATAGATCGTCACAGCTCGGCGAGACAGGAAGATCCATATACAGGATGAAATAAAAAAAACTGCAACAAAGTCAAACACTATAATTTTTACTTAAAAAAAAAAAAAAAAAAAAAATTATTGAATGAAAGCAAAACATGTCGGAAATAGTCACGTTTTACACGAATTATGGCCTTCAAACGACCAATGAAAGATGATCGATACTATAGTATTTTTTAATGAAAAACTCCAGACACAAGTGATTCGTATGCGGAGATTTGGTGGTCATTGTGAGCTGGAAATGAAGCGAGGAACCTCATTTTTGTAACCATTTTTGGGTGGCGCGTGCTGAGTGCGATGGTGCTGCTGTTTACAAATTGCTCGACAACGAATGTTTTCTCATCGGAGAAATCCAGATTCGGCAGTTCACCACATTCGGCCAAGCAAAGCAACTCTTTAGCTCTTTTGAGTCTATTTTCTTTCTGTTGCGGTGTAAATTCTTGAACTTTTTGGAATTTCAATGGCTTTACCCGAGCTCATTTTTCAATATTTGCCGAATCGAATATTGCGATATGTTCAGCTCACGAGCCATTTTTCGGCCACTGTGACGCGGGTTTCAATCAAGTCGCTTCTTTACTTTTCAAACCATTTATTCTGATGTTGCTGTTTTCGTCCGTCCACTTCCTTGACGTCGGGCTACGCTACCAGTATCACGGTAACGTGCGATGGTACGAGACACAAACGATTTATTCATATTTCAATGCTGGAGTTCTAACGATAGCCACTTTCGGTTTTCCGGCCAAATATAAAGAAATCACAATATCCCGCTTGAATTCCATCACGAATAACAGTTTTTCTGGAAAAATGCTTTTGCACGCTTGTAAACAATATAATGAGCTGTCACTGGAAAAATTTTAACAGCTGTCGGACGAGTGGCTTAGAAATGACAGCAGTCTGACATTGGTTACAGTTTTTTCATCTCATGCCATATGGCTGAGAGTATATAAAGTAGTTAAGTTATGCCGGCTGAACTATTTATACTCTCCACCGGTGTGAAAGTAAATCATTTGTAAAATTGTAAACCTCTGCGGCTAGAATGATTTTTTCGTTGAAATTTAGACGGAATGGCAAATTTAATACACCCTTCACGTACGTTGGAGGGTAAAAAAAAATAAAATTACGATCTCCTCCCTTAGTTTAAAAAAAAATTGTCGTAGGAGTTATTTTTAGATAACTCTTAGGGAGAATATCCCCAGACAAAAAAAAAACAAGGAAGCTGATGAGGATTGGTGGCTCTTTCCGAAACCATGGTACGTCCTGATTAATTATTTATATGGTATTAATTATAAATATTAATAATCTTATCCTCTAAGAAATAAATAAACCTTGTTTTAATAAAACAAGTAAGCAAAGGCTATAGTCGTGCGGGGCCGACCATGTGATACCCTACAACACTACAATATGTTGGAAGTCCCTTTATATTCAAATCCATTTTAGAAGATTTCGTTTTTGAAATAATGCCAAAGAGCCCTGCCCAGAGGTTACCCTTAGGTTCTTGGCCCGGAGAATTTGGCCAATATTTACGCACTCGGTAATGTGAAGAACTCAAAACAATTGCACACGAAAGTTGTGGTCAATTTTACAGCTAAATATAATCCAATGGTCATCCAAAATGCTAGACTTCTTCTCTGTCCTCAACTCTCTTCCGATTCTAAATTCCGTGTCGATTAGTTTTCAATTGTGGCCTATAGAACGACTACAATATTAGAAAAATTTAAAATTTTTAGCCATTTAAACCTCTAAATGCACATCCTAAGACCAATAGGCTTCAATTCCGACCCACCCCCATGCAAAATTTCATGGGGATCGGACGATAATTGCGACATACATATAATACCCTCAAAACGTAGTGTTGGTGGTGTAAAAATTTAGAAAATTCAAAATTGTAAGTCAAATTGAAAAAATCGCATGCGATAAAAAAATGGAAAAAATGAAACAAAAGATATAATTTTTTTATTGGTATATTATCTTGCGATTTTCTTAGATTTTATCCTTTTCTAGCAAGAGACCATTCCGAATTGATGGGAATTGTTAAAATCGGCCCAGCGGTTCTTGATTTATAAGCAGAATAAATACGATCAATTTTTTACATATATATTGTACCTATTTTGCTATATATCCGATTTCTTGGCTATTAGCATCACTTTAATGGTCAGAAGTGATATTTTAATGTATTTGTGATTTGGCTGGAATTGAAAATATTCCCGGTTTAGTGGAAATTTTCCCATTTTCTTACATAAAAGTCAGGGTCTATTTTACCCGCTAATTATTGTCCGATGACCACCCAAATTGGTAGGTTTCTGCCCATTCCTAAACTCTAATTCCGTGTAAATTTTCGCGTCGATTGGTTCATAATTCTGATCTATAGAGCAACTGCAAAATCAGGAAATTTTTCTGCTTTTGGTCCATTTCAACCCCTAAATATCGTGGGATCATCTCCAAAAACAATAGGGTTCTATTCTGACCATAACCCCACCACCATTTTCATTTTCGTGAGGATCGGTTCATAATTGCGATCCATAGCTTTATTATAAATTAACATCAACAGACGGACAGACGGACGGACGGACATACATAGCTAGAACGATTATGCTCGGCGCGCTAGGAAGACCCATATATACTTTCCTATGTGGGAAACCAATATTTCGAGGTCTTACATAATTTTTGGCCCAATCAAACTTATAATACCCCCAACACATAGTGTTGTAGGGTATAAAAACAACAATTATGGGATCAGCCTAATTATTTGCAACGATAAGATAAAAAAGAAAATATATCTACGCACGCTTCATTGTGGACAGAATAGTATACAAAAATATGTATTTAACCTTGGAGTAGAAAATTTCACCTTGAAAAACATATATTGGTTTAATTTTATATTTCCGTTAAATTTCCTAAAAATATCAAATTTAATTTTAATTATTTTGAAAGAAGCTATCAAATCAAATTCGACACATGTTGTTCAATATTTATACAAATGTTTTGCCGAATGAGGCCAAAACTAACACTCAAATATATTAAGTATAAAGCAACGGAGAAACCTTCCAACCCATATCATTCTTTTTAAAAATATTTTCAAAGAAAGTTGCAACAATTCAAAATGAAATTCATAATCTCGATTTGCTTTATTTTATCCGTCGTAGCATTCGGCTCCTTGGATGCTGTCAGAGTGTGTGTAATTCGTGCCGCAAATTGCAATAGCAACGTCAACGCTTGTGGTCGTTATGGTCGCTCTAATTTATGTCAACGTTTCCAAAATAATTGCTATCTCGAATCGGCTAATTGTTCCGACAATATTGGTGAGTTATTACATGAACTTCAACTTCGGGTATTTTAATGTGATTTATTTGTAGGTTATACTGCCGTAAATGCCTCTTTATGCAACGGAATTGCTTTGAATCAGCGTAGATTGTGTAACGGCTTGTCGAGTACCACAACAGGAACTGGTGGTTTGTGGTCCAATTTATTTGGTGGCAGCAAGTATGGCTCCAATGTGCAACCCATTATTATCAATACTGGTAAATAAAGAGAAGAAGGCTATCTAGCTGGTATTTTATTTACAAATATTCAAAAACTCCAGAAATTTTTCTTGTAAAAAAATAGCGACTTTTTAATAAACCGTACGAAAAGTGACTAATCTACCGATTAATACCAGTTCGAGTACTGCTTTACCTTTTAAACCCACAGACTAAAACCAATTAAAAGGCATAAAAGAGCGGGATCGACTATATAATACCCTAAGCCATTGTGCATATTTAGTAGAGATTCTCGTAATAAATGCAAAATTATATTGGGAATTTATATGCAGTAGATCCTACGAACCATGAACCTTTTTTGAATCCGTATTATGGCTTAAGAGCAGTTATAATTTGATATCAGAGGGAACTAATATATGAATCGATTTCCATCAAATGTGTCGGATGCATTTGTACCTCTCGTACCAAATACCAGCGCAATAGAGTGCATCATATAAATTTAAGAAGGGTGCTACAGTTATAATCGAACCGATTTTCACCACCATTTGACACTTTTACTTCTAGGATATATTCAGTCGCATACGCTGAAATTCATAAGAGCTATATCTATATAAAAACCGATCTCGATCAAACTTGGTAGAGGTATTTCTAAGCTGTATCTGATATCTGGTATTAAATATCTTAGTTGTGGAGTGCGTATTACGGATGTGAGGGATGTAAATACCAGTTTGGATGTGAGTTATAGCTATATTTAAACAGATTTTTATAACATTCGACACACTTGCTGCTAGGCTAAACACGATCGTACGTGCTAACTAAAATTAGGTTAATGTTAACCATTTTGTGTGCAACAAATTGGAAAACGATGAAGATATACAGGGTTGCCCATATTCGACGGACCCATGTTTTTTTATGGGCCCATTCCAATCGACGAGGCTTGTCCGCAGGCAACATTCTTTGCGTCAATTGCATTTTGTACGGGAAAAAATGCAAATCAATGCGAATAATCCGTTGTAAAGTAAAATGCTGAGAACGGCGTTTTAGGGATGTTCTTGGGGACCTCTCAACACTGGCTCGTACGGCAGCAATATTCTCGGCCCATCGCCTTTGTCGAATTTTATATGGCCTCTTCGGATTAGAAAGAGCCTTACCAGTCGAAAATTTTTCGTATAAATGCTTAATGGTGTTCTTAGAAGGCGCACTTCTCACATTTTTTAATGTTTTAAAAGCACGTTGAGTTTTCACAATTGACTTCTTCTGTTGAATGTAAATTTCAACTATTTCACAGCGCTCTCGTTTCGTGTATTGGTTCATGGTAAAAATCTGCTTGGACTGACGCTTCAAACGCAGTATGCCATTAAGCGATGTGACATCTCTGTCAAAAGTTATGGCGTTGCCAGATGGGTCCGTCGAATATGGGCAACCCTGTATATGGAAGTTATACCGAAACCTCAATCGATCTCTATACAATTTGGCAGAATTATTTTTAAGCTGCATTTAATATCTTGACTTGAATATCGTTGATATGGAGTGCATATTTCGGATGTAAAAACTTAAATAGTAAATTGGATAAAACATATATATGGTAGATATAGATATATCCAAACCGATTTTCACCGTTTTTATTCTAGGTTGAATTCGGTCGAATGTGCCAACATTCATTCTGTTTGGGCTAATATGACACACATGGCAGATAATAAAATTGAAGAATATGACGAAGATATACATATAAGTGTAATTTTTGGTATAGTCCGGCATTTCGGTATGTTCGGTATTTCGATGATTTTGTCACAATGTTTCAAATTTGGAAATTGAGGTTCCAAGTATGTACTACATCATACGACAGAAAATTGCTCAAACGGCTCCACATCTTCGTATAGCCCCATATAACGGTACACCTCTATAATTGGTATTTTGATAATTTTAGCGATTTTCGCGACGTTTGAGACAAATTTGAGAATTAGTTAAATTTTTGTGCTTTTAGTACACTTACGGAATAAATTGTATCCTTGGTACGCCTACTGGGTCTGAGCTATCATTAGTGCTACCACGTATCCGATTTTGACTATATCGACTAGTTCCTTTACATCATATGAGATATGTGATAATTTTTGGAATATGTTCAAATATATTTGAGGTAGTAGATATTGTGGACCAAAGTATTCCACTGCATTTAATACTGAGAATGTTGTTGCGAGAAATACCGAGAACTTTTTTAAGAAAATATAATGAGCATTTAATCCTATTTTTTTTGTGGAGGAGGTACTGGAAAAAATAATCCGAAAAAAATCAAATTTACATTAGAACTCTGGTTGAGAGAAAATGTGTAGATATTACATGTTTGAAAAGAATTGCCGACATGGTTCATAAATTACGAGATTTAAGGGTGAGATGAAAAAATACAACCAACTTCAGACTGCTGTCATTTCTAAGCCACTCGTCCGACAGCTGTTAAAATTATTCCAGTGACAGCTTGTTATATTGTTTACAAGCATACAAAAGCATTTTGGTGAGATTTTTCCAGAAAAAAAGTTATTCGTGATGGAATTCAAGGGTCTTAGGGTGATTTCTTTATATTTGGCTGGAAAACCACAAGTGGCTATCATTAGAGCATTCCAGCATTCAAATGTGCATACATCTTTTGTGTCTCGTGTCTCGCTCGTTACCGTGATACTTGCGACGACGTCAAGGAAATGTACGGAAGAAAACAGCAACATCAGCAGAAATGGTTCGAAAAGTAAAGAAGCGACTTGATCGAAACCCGCGTCGCAGTGGCCGAAAAATTGGTCGTGAGCTGAACATATCGCAGTATTTTATGCGGCAAATATTGAAAAATGAGCCTTAGATATTCCAAAAAGTTCAAGAACTTACACCATAACAGAAAAAAAGATAGACTCAAAAGAACTAAAGAGTTGCTTCGCTTAGCCGAAAGTTATGAACTGCCGATTTGGTTTTCTCCGATGAGAAAACATTCGTTGTCCAGCAGTTTGTAAAGAAACAAAATGATCGTGTTTATTTGCAAAGAGGTCAGCTGAAAACGTGCAACTTCCGTTGGCCACCAGAACTCAAGCACCGGCCAAGGTTATATTGTGGGCCGCCATAACAGCTGATGGTCGCTCTCCGCTCGTAGTAATATATTTATCATAAATGGCATCAGAATAAAAGCCAAATAATATCGCGAAAATATTCTTGAGGGTGTATTGAAGCCTTAGGCACGCAAAAATGTTGGCCGCAGACCCTGGACTTTCCGTTTCATTGGCCGTTTAAAGGCCATAATTCGATCAAATCTAAACTTATTCTAAAATGTGATGCTATTTCCGACAATAAAATTTAAAAAATTTAAAAATTATGGCGATTGACTTTATTGCAGTTTTTTTTTATCTCACGCTGTATAACTATTGAAAACTTCGACCCTTTGTGTGAGAAGTATCAGAAGGAGTAGGCAGATATCTATCATTTTCATACAATATCTTGCGTCAGAAAAAGTATTGGAATGTGTGAAATTAGAAGAGAATCGGGTCCTTATTACGCTTTGCAATTTTTCAAAGTGTTTACCCTTTGCGGGGGAGGTACAAAATAGAGTGAGCCGATATCTACCATCTTCACATGAGATCTTGTGTTGATAGCAATATTGAGATATGCCGAGTTTAAAAAAAGGCGCTTGTTCATTTCGCGTTACTAACTGCATGGCTATTCAATATATTGACTCATTGTGTGGGCGGTACCAGTGATGTAATATATTCCATCTTTACCCCAGATCTTTTATTATCAAAAATGTTGGGATGTGTGGAATTTGAAGAGAATCGGATGCTTATTTCTTATTTTAGAAAAGTTAAAATTATTCAAAATATGATCGGTTCGAGAAGGAGAAGTCCGATTTATTCTGTCTTCACACCTGATCATGTGTGGGTAGAAGTGTCGGGATCTGCGAAATTTGAAGATAATCAGACTCTTACTACACTTTTTATGAGAGCTATACATTTTGAAAGTATTGACCCTTTATGGGGGAGGTACATGATTGAGTGGACCGATATTGTCCATTTTCGCACCCGACCTTGCACAGATACAAATATTTGGATTTGCAATATTTGAACAAAATTTAATGATCCTTTCTTGTTCTATAGAGTAAATTATTTTCTATGAAAATTTTGACCTTTTGTGCGGGAGGAACCAGTAGGAGTGGACGGATGTTACCAATCTTAGAGCTCTATCTAAGTCTGACAATAATATTACGATATACCAAGTTTGAATCCAATCGGATACTGCCTTTGAGAATTATTATGCGTATCAGACAGACAGACGTACGGATGGAAACATTAACTCGGCTCCAAATGTTCTAAAACGGATTTGCTTCAAAGATACCTAGTGTCTAAAACCGTTATTTCGATGAGGCATATTTTTTGCCGTATCAAATATACCCTCTGCAGACTTATGGCAGCGGGTATACATATTAGTATGTTTTAAATGTTCAAATTGTTGTTCTAATCCGATACACCCTTCGAGAGGGAAGTACATTTTCGCCCATTTCATTCAGAATGTTAAATTAATTTGTAGTTATTATGATCATTGTTTGTACATTGCCTGCGCGACGGAAAAGGCAAACATGAATGAAAAACTCCATTTGCCTCACTCACGCCGCAATGTTTATTATTAGAGGTTTTGCTACGATAATTCACTTTTATTATTGCCACCAACTGTGGCAGTTATACCTTGGGATTGCCACTTAACCAGTTGAATTGTTTGCACACAAGTGTGTGTGAGGACGCACATTTCTCCATTCGAGTGGAATGTAAACAATAATAACTTTTTACATGTGTAAGTGAGTAAGCAGGCTCATATGGCTAGGTGCGGGGAGTCTGGTCCCATACTCCACTCACACACTCCCATCTAATTATGAACCAGAGTTTATAGATGCGCTTAGAACGTAAATTATTTCAAATTTCATCATAATTTTCAATACAAAAGGCAAGAAAATGGGAAACAATTTGTTACGTGTATGACAAAGACAAAGGAGGAACGCACACACACACATACTCATATGGAGGCACTTAAACGCAAACACACACACTTAGACACCCTGGCATCATTATAATCATCATAAACTTACATCAAGTTACAGACACATACAAACAAAACACCGCCTTAGATTGAAACGACACAAAGAG